TATCTATCTATACAGTATCTATCTATCTATCTATCTCTATCATCTATCTATACAGTATCTGTCTATCTATCTATACAGTATCTGTCTATCTATCTATACAGTATCTATCTATCTATCTATCTATCTCTATCATCTATCTATACAGTATCTGTCTATCTATCTATACAGTATCTATCTATCTATCTCTATCATCTATCTATACAGTATCTGTCTATCTATCTATACAGTATCTATCTATCTATCTATCTATCTATCTATCTATCATATATCTGTCTATCTATCTATCTATACAGTATTTATCTCTCTCTGTCTATCTATCTATCTGTCTATCAATCTAGTATATATCTATCTATCTATCTATCTATCTATGTGTCTGTTTGATTGTATGTATACAGAGAAACAAAGAAAGAGAGAGAATATCTGTTTCTTTGAATGTAAAGATTCTCTACAATAAATTAAATGCGTATTCCTACAAAATAATTGAAGATACCTAAAGGAACGAGAAGCTGAATAAACAGCTCTCAGTTTCTATTAACCTCCCATAGCAACAGCAAGCTATTTTCTCCATGTCTATTTTTGGTTTACTTATTTTGGTTTTGCGCTTCATCTGGAAGTATAATAGATTCATTCTTTACTTCCCCTTTACGAGTGACCTCTTTCTTCCTAGTTACATTCCCACTTATAATAAGATGGTGATTAAAGTGTAGGCTCGTAGCAGCAAAAAAGAATAGGAAAGTAGAATGCATGAAAAATACTGTAGCAACCTTTAGGTAAACATAATAATAATAATAATAATAAATAAAAAATAAAAAATAACCTTGGATCAAATTCCCATCTACGGGTATATTTTCCAGTAGATGAGTTTGCTAAAGTCTATTCTCGAGGTAACTTGAGAACATTAGAATTATCACCCTAGGCGTCAACTCATATTAAGCTCTTGGACAAAACTCAAAGGAGACCGACGTGGAACCGCCTTCACTCATTTAAAGATCACTGATAGCTCATCCAACCGGAAGTCAATAGAAACCAACTTCTCCAGTTCATGTTTAACACGTCATTGTTGTCAACATGGTTATAACGTGGTTCACGACTGCATAGATGAAAGTCTATGGTCGATCACTGAATTCAGCTCGAGTGCAGCTAAGCTGTTCGAAATGGTGGGCACCAAAACATTCTAGGCCTTGTAGCACCTAGTCAAAGTTTTGGAGAAAAAGCTACAAACACACCTACAATAGCTGAATTTGCCACTAATTCGCCGTTAGAGAAGTTTGAGATATTCCTCTCCAAATGGATACTTTAGCTTATTTTTTACACCCGGATTGTAACTCTACATCTAGAAACAATGCAACCTTTATTTTCTTGAATTCCATTTCCAAATTTTAGAACTGAGTTTCCTTATCTGGAACACAGCTATAGACGAGACAGGATGTATAGATAATAAAGGAACTTCCTTCGAGTTAACAATGGAATGAAACAATGGGACACAGACAATCAAAAAGGAAAACATATTCAACTTAATTATTTTTCTATTTTAGTTTGTACGGTCTGCAATTCTCGACTTAAATTTTTCACATATTTTAAACCTTCTGCCACTGTGTGAAACAAAAAGGGAAGAGCTCAGACCTTCAGTGACTGCAGAGTGGTAAAAATACCACGGGGGAGGCAGAATTTAAAAATCAACAAACAGTAAGTGAAAAGTAGATTTTCTTTTAATTGTTCCAATATCCAGCTTTGAAACTTGTACATAATTTAGGTGTGAATTATTTTTCCAAAAAAAAACACGTTCCTATTTCTGTATCTTATATGTTGTTTCTAGATGAGTCTACTGTTTGAACACTACTTATTTCTTAGGCAGGGGTAGTCAACCTTCGACACTCTAGATGCTGTGGACCACATTTCCCCTGATGCTTTGCCAGCATTATGGATGTAAAAGCATTATTGGAGATATAGTCCACAACATCTTAAGTGCCGAAACTTGCTTCCCCCTGTCTCAGGGATTTATTCACTAAAGTAGAAATTGTGGAGCATTGACAATATGTAATTTTAGGGTGTATTACCCAAGCAGGACTCAGCTTCACTTAAGTATTTTGCAAACTCAGCTATATGGGTCTTGAATCTGAAATTCACTAGTCAATACCCGATTTAATTTTCCCACAATCCCCCATTTAATTAATAAGCTCCTTGGTCTACATGCCATGCATTGCTATATCAATATTATTGAATCAATTCAATTTTTTTTTGTCATTATCATCTTCAAAAATCGAATTCATTAACTTATCTCTTTTTACTATTATTTTAATGCATTAATGGTACATATCTCTGTAATTATCACACCAACACAGGAAACGGGTTGTTTTGACACAAATCATACATTAGAGCAATTCCTCAAACATGTATTTTAGAAATAAAATCAACATAATAATTGATTGCAACCGAAGCATATTAATTTTGTTTTCACTCAGGGTAAACAGACTTCTAGACGAGAGAACAGAACATCCATCGAGAACAGAAAACCATCCGTATATGTCAAAAGAATGTTTGAACTTTGTCATTTGTCAGACCGTGTTAGTTTCAGTGAATACACAGTTCCGAGTTCCAAAATAAAATCTACCTTCTATGCAGGGATAAATAACTATGAACAAATATAAGAATATTATTTAATGCTTACTGTAAATATTCAATTAATCAAACATGATCAAGCCATACTGACTGTTATTATTTTATGAGAAAAATAAGTTAAATTTGTTCAATTTCAGCGACCTAAAAATCACTGTTGCAAAAGAAAAATAATAATTAAAAGAGTAAAACTGTAGATAACATAAAATGCAATGCGCAACAGAAACAATATTACAATTAAAACAATCTTTAAAAATTGAGGAGGCTAAATGTAACGATTTAGGGCAGTGACCCCTGGTGGCTGAGTTTGTTATTTCACAATATTTGTCTTAATAGTCTAAAGTCTAAGCAGGTTATAGCTGGATTTTATAACTGTTTTCTTTCTTTTGCTTCTATCTTATTATTCATCATGTTACCAAGAGATCCAGATTATTTTCTCATCTAAATGTTTATATCCTCACTTAATAATAATGCCACTGTTTAGTGTCTCAAATACTAAGATTCTCTGGTGCCATCATAGTTTTATACCCCAAATCTTCAGGCTGAAAGGTTAAAATTCATTTTGAAATATCCCATTATATTCAGTGACAGTAGGGAGACTAAACTCTGAATTGTTGACCAAATCATAACCTCCAATACGTCTATGCTCTCAATGCAAACTGATTGACAGTTCAGTAATTGACCCAGAATTTGCATATTTATTTGAAAAATAAGCTTATGTGCTATGAGCTTATTTTTATGAAAATATTTATCATCACCTAAGTTGTAACCTGAATTGAATGTCACTTTTTCATAAGTGGAGAAGTGAATTTAAAGTGGAGAAGTGAATTTCCAAATTAACTAAAACACAAAAGTACGAGCTAATAAATAAATGAGAAGAGGTTCCCTTAGGGTAAATAACCCTATGTGAGCAACCCCTTCTGGGTCGCTACCTTGCCGTGGTGAAGGGACTTGTGTACTTCAGTGAACCTATGGGCTATACCATGAAGGAGCACCCAAGATGGACAGAGTCATAGCAGAGAAGTCAGACAAATCGCGGTCCACTGGAGAAGGAACTAGAAACCCACTCCAGTAACTTTGCTAAGATATGGACAAGCCCATGTAGAGACATAACGATATGGCACTGGAAGATGAGCCCCTAAGATCAGAAGGTGCCTACCACATTACTGAGGAAGACCAGAGGGCGAGTACGAGTAACACCAGATCTAATGAAGTAGTTGGGCCAAAGCCGAGAGGACACCCAACTGCGGATGTGTTTGGAGGGGAAAGGAAAGTCCGTTGCTGCAAAAGAACAATTTAACATAGGAACCTGGAGTGTTAGAACTATGAACCAATGAAAATTGGATGTGATCAAACATGAGATGACAAGGTTAAGCATCGATATCCTGGGAATTAGTGAATTCAAATGGACAGGAATGGGACATTTCACATCAGACAACCGTCACATCTTCTAATGTGGTCAAGAATCCCGCAGAAGAAATGCAGTAGCCATCAAAGTAAATCATCGGGTGGGCAAAGCAGTGCTCGGCTACAACCCAATAAATGACAGAATGATTTCCATTCAAATTCAAGGCAAGTCATTTAACATCACAGTGATCCAAGTTTATGCTCCAACCATGGATGCTGAAGAGGATGTAATTGTCCAGTTCTATGAAGATATTCAACACATGATAGATATAAAACCAAGAAAAGATGTTACTATCCTCATAGGAGACTGGAATGCTAAAGTAGGGAACCTAAAGACACCTGGAATAACTGGCAAGTTTGGTCTTGGAGTTCAAATGAAGCAGGTCAGAGATTAGTAGAATTCTGTCATAGCAAACACCCTCTTCCTACAGCCTCCGAGACGACTCTACATATTATGGACCATAATGGACAATATAGAAATCAGATTGACTATGTACTTTGCAGCCAAAGATGGAGGAGCTCTATACAGTCAGCAAAAACAAGACCTGGAGTTGACTGTGGCTTGGACCATGAGCTTCTCATTGCAAAGTTCAGAATTAAACTGAAGAAAAGAAGGAAAACCCTCAGACCAATCAGATACAACATAAATAATATCCCTTGTGAATATGCAGTGGAAGTAAAGAATAGATTTAAAGGAACTAGACATGGACGATAGAATGCCTGAAGAATTTTGGACCGAAGTTTGCAATATTATCTAGGAAACCGCAAGAAAAAAAATATCCCCAAAAGAAAGAAATCTAAGAAGGCAAAATGGCTATCTGATGAGGCTTTAAAAATAGCCAAGCAAAGAAGGAAAGCGAAAGATAGTGGATCGGAAAAAATGTGTCCAACTGAATGCAGAATTCCAAAGGATAGCAAGAAGAGACAAGGAGACATTCTTCAATGAGCAAGGTAAAGAGATAGAATAAGATAACAGAATGGGAAAGTCAAGAGATCTATTCAAGAAAATTGGGGATCTAAAAGTTACCTTTCATGCTAAAGTGGGTGTGATAAAAGACAAAAATGGCAGGGACTTAACAGGAGAAGATCAGATAAAGAAGAAATGGCAGGAATACATTGAAGATCTATACAGGAAGGATCTTAACAGCAGTGATGACCTCAATAGTTGGTCCAATGAGATGGAACCAGAAATCTTGGGGAGCGAAGTTAGATGGGCCCTAGGATGCCTTGCAGATAACAATCTACATCCCAATCCCAAAAAAGGCAATGCCAAAGAGTGCTCCAATTATCGAACAATTGCACTAATTTCAAATCCCAGCAAGGTAATGCTTAAGATCCTACAAGCTCGATTCAAACAATATATGGACCAGGAATTACCAGATGTATGTTCTGCAGAGGACGAGGCACAAGAGATCAAATTGCCAATGTACAATGGGTAATAGAGAAAGCTAGAGAGTTCCAGAAAAACATCTACTTCTGCTTTATAGACCATTCTGAAGCCTTTGAGTGTGTGGATCACAACAACATGTGGCAAGTTCTTAAAGAGATGGGAGTACCGAATCATCTCATCTACCTCATGTGGAATCTGTATGTGGACCAAAAAGCCACAGTCAGAACCGAACATGGGACAACAGAATGGTTTGAGATTGGGAAAGTGTGACAAGGTTGTATATTGTCACCTTATTTATTCAACTTATATGTGGAATACATAATGCATAAAGCTGGGCTGGATGAATCCAAAGCTGGAATCAATTGTGCTTAAAGAAATATCAACAACCTCAGAAATGCGGATGATACTACTCTGCTGGCTGAAAGTGAGGAAGAACTAAAGGACCTGGATTGCTGCTTAACGTTAAACAGGCTAAGTTCATGGCAAACAGCAATCTGGCAAATAGATGTGGAAGAAGTGGAGGCAGTGACAGATTTTATTTTCCTGGGATCCAAGATCTCTTCAGATGTTGACTGTAGTCATGAAATTAAAAGACGTTTGCTTCTGGGGAGGAAAGCTATAAGATTGAAGACACATGAAGAAGGGGATGACAGAGACGGAGATGGATAGATGAGGTCACAGAAGCCACGAACTTGAAGTTGTTGGAGCTCAGAGGGGCAGTGACTGGCAGATGTACCTGGCGTGCTACGGTCCATATGGTCACGGAGAGTCGGACACGACTGAGCGACTAAACAATAATAACAACATGTGAGCATGCATAAGCTGCCCCCTTTCTCCACGTGCAGAATGTCATAGGTTAATCTTAACAAAGTCTTACTATGCTCTAGTTCAGGGGTAGGCAACCTTCGGCGCTCCAGATGTTGTGAACTACATCCTCCTTGATGTTTTCTTAGCATTATGGCTGTAAGAGCATTATGGGAGATATAGTCCACAACTTTGGAGTTCCAACAGTTGCCTACTCCAGCATCTAGTTGTTGGAAGAAGAATATAAATATAGATGGTGGATCCCTTTTATGCTCACTTCACGTTGATGCCACAGTGCAAGTCCAATTATTCTTTTCCAAGTTGGCTGTGTAATTCAGAGTTAAGAGAGAAAATGTAAGGAAAATGTAATCAATTACACTGTAACTTAATTATAATTAAAAGTAAATTGCTAATCTGACTTTCACAAGTCAGAATTGAGCAATTTGTTTATTACAAAATACATTATTTATCCCACTTTTCAGTCCATGAAACTGTACATATGAGGTCAGTTTTATGTAATTACACCAACATCCTGATAACGTTTGGGGGACAATATAAACTAAGGTTTTGGTAACACGGTTACTCTGCAGAATTTATGACCGGGTGCATAGGTGGGATCCAAGAAAGTTTTTTTCATTCTCAGTAATTGGATATCAAAGCTGTTGAAGGCTTGATGTGTTCTGGGGATTATAAACGGGTCTTTAAAAAAATTGCATGTTACACTCCAGGCTTTGAAAATACCTCATAGGTTTGAGTATAAAACTAACAAAGAGAATCCAGGTATACTAAAACATATAGTTTTAAAAAGGCCAATTTCTATAAGTTAAGGGTTGCTTTACAATATATTGACTGGCACACACTATCTAGTGAAAAGAACACTGAGGATAAATGGAACATCTTCCAACAAATATTAGAAAAGTACATTTCTCTGTATTTACCATTGGGTAATAAATATAAAAGAAACAAATTGAAACCAATGTGGCTTAGTAGAAAAGTAAAACAAGAGATTAAATATAAGAAAAGGGCATTTAAAGCATTTAAATCAGACAAATCAGATGCATCCTATAAAAGATTTAAGTAAGCCAATAATGCGTGCAAAAAGGTGATTAGATTCACTAAACTTCAAAATTAAAAAATGATAGCTAAAGAGAGCAAAACCAACCCCAAAGCATTCTTTAATTACATAAATTCTAAAAAAAAAAAAAATGAAAGTGTAGGTACACTAAAAACTGAAATGGGGGTGTTACTTAATGAAGACCAGGAAAAGGCAGGAATTTTAAATAACTATTTCTCCTCCGTATATATTAAGGAAGAACCCATGGCAATAGATGTGCAAATGATTGCTGCTAAAAACTTGCAGAATAATTGTAATTGGTTAACTCAAGACAAGGTGCTGCAGCAACTAAAGAAAGTTAATATACTTTACTTAAAGGGACACTCCAGGTACCCAGACCACTTCTGCCCATTGGAGTGGTCTGGGTGCCAACTCCCACTACTCTTAACCCTGCAACTGTAATTATTGCAGTTTTCATAAACTGCAATAATTTCCTTGTAGGGTTAACTCCTCCTCTAGAGGCTGTCTATTAGACAGCCACTAGAGGGCACTTCCTGGTCAATAGCACATAGAAAAGTCCCCATAGGAAAGCATCGCAAAGCATTTTCAATGCTTTCCTATGGAGCGGTCTAATGCGCATGCGCGGCATTAGCGTGCATGCGCATTAGGTCTCCCCACCAAGCCGGCGGGATCAGTCTCCCCCGCCGGCTGACGTAATGAAGAGTAGGAGCGGAGGAAGAAGCAGCGATGCGGGACATGTCGCTGCCTCTGGTAAGTGACTGAAGGGGTTTTCACCCTTTCAGCAGCCGGGGATGGGAGGTGGGAGGAGAGGGCACCTGCAGTGCCAGGAAAAAGGAAAACGGATTGTTTTCCTGGCACTGGAGAGTCTCTTTAAAGAACTAAGTGTAGAAATAAGTGAACCTCTGTTTTTAATCTTTCAAGATTCTTTTCTTTCAGGAAGTGTTCCGGAGGATTGGAGGAAGGCAGCTGTGGTTCCTATATTCAAAAAGGGTTCAAAATCCTTGCCTGGAAATTATAGACCTGTAAGCTTAACTTCTGTGGCTGGGAAAATATTTGAAAGGTTATTAAGGGATAATATTCAAGAATTCCTTGAGAAGAACATGGTTATCAGCAAAAATCAGCACGGTTTTATGAAGCACAGGTCATGTCAAATTAACTTGATTGTGTTCTAAAAAGAAGTAAGTAGAAGTATAGATCAGGGTGTTGCAGTGGATGTGATCTAATTGGATTTTGCCATGGCATTTGATACAGTTCCACACAATAGATTAGTGTTCAAACTGAAGTAAATTGGTCTAGATGAAAATGCTTGTTCTTGGGTAGAACATTGGCTTAAAAATAGAGTACAGAGAGTTGTCATTAATGGTACATTTTCAAGCTGGACAGAGGTGGCAAGTGGTGTCCCTCATGGGTCTGTTCTGGGACCCCTTCTATTTAACATGTTTATAAATGATCTTGAAAAAAGCATTGAAAGTCATTTTTCAGTGTTTGCAGATGACACAAAACTCTGTAAAGTAATACAATGTGAGCAATATATTACTTTGCTGCAGAGGGATTTAGATAGACTGGGGGACTGGGCACTCAAATAGCAGATGAAATTTAATGTTGAAAAATGCAAAGTTATGCACTTCAGTGTAAAGAATGCACAAGCAACGTATACCCTTAATGGAAGCGAATTAGGCATAACAACACACGAAAAGGACTTGGGAATTGTTATAGACAACAAACTATGCAACAATGTGCAATGTCAATCAGCAGTGGCTAAGGCCAGTAAGGTATTGTCATGCATGAAAAAGGGCATTCATTCTCGGGATGAGAATATCATTTTGCCTCTTTATAAATCACTGGTAAGACCACATATTGAATATGCTGTGCAATTTTGGGCACCTGTTCTAAAGAAGGATATGATGGCACTAGAAAAAGTGCAGAGGCGGGCTACAAAATTAATAAAAGGAATGGAACATATCAGCTAAGAAGAAAGGTTAACAAATTTAAACCTATTTAGCTTAGAAAAACGTCCCCTGAGAGGGGATATGATAACATTATACAAATATATCCGGGGCCAATACAAACCATTGTGTGGAAATCTATTCACAAACCGGACTTTACATAGGACACGAGGCCATGCGTTTAGATTGGAAGAAAGAAGATTTTGTCTAAGGCAAAGGAAAGGTTTTTTTACTGTAAGAACAATAAGGATGTGGAATTCTCTACCTGAAGAAGTGGTTTTATCAGAGTCCATACAGATGTTCAAACAGCTACTAGATGCATACTTGCAAAAACAGAATATTTCAATGTAGGGTAATAACTGCTTGATCCAAGGCTAAATCTGACTGCCATTCTGGGGACAAGAAGGATTTATTTTTCCTAGCTTGTTGCAAAATTGGAAGTGCTTCAAGCTGGGGGTTTTTTTGTGTGTGCCTTCTTTTGGATCAAAAGCAAAAAACAAATGTGAGAAAGGCTGAACTTGATGGACGCAAGTCTCTTTTCAGCTCTGTAACTATGTAGGTCTGGGCAGAAAGCTGTCAAAAAAAAGTCATGAATTATGGTGGAAGAAGGGTTTGTATCTCAGAAAGAAAAAGGTTTTGCAAAAAAAAATTAAAATTATGAAGCCTCTGCTGCTTGTATCGTGTAACCCACCGCAGCCCTAGCACCCATAAGTGTCTAAGTCAGGGACAGGCAACCTTCAGCAATCCAGATGGACTATATCTTCTGTAATGCCCTTCCAGTTGTAATGCTGGAAAGCATTAGGGGAGATGTACTTTACAACGTCTGGAGTGCAGAAGGTTGCCTATCTCTGGTCTAACCCATGGTAAAGCATGTAGCTCTCTCGATTAAATGTACTTGGCAGGCCTGTGGTTAAAAATTTAAGTATCTCTGTAAGAGCTAAATAATTATGTACCCAGATGTGGACACCAAGTAGGTATCAATCAACCTTATTCTAAGTTAATAATATGTCTGAAAAATATAGTCTTGGTAAACTGCTGCATAATACAGAAAGCTTAGACATTGTCCAGATATTACCTGCATTGCTGAAATTGTAAAGTGAGCATTCATGGAATGTGATTTTAACCCCATACGTGGGAAAATAAAAGAATTGTTGTTTTTGGGGGGGTTTTTTTACATTTTGCTTCACTTGCATTACTGTCGGTGAATGATACTGTAGTTTTGTTAATGCTGGCACGAGGTGGTAAAAGCACTCAATTGGCATTTATGGATTGGAGATGGCCTGGTACATTGTATTAAACAAGTCATAAATAAATGGACCAAGTAACTGTGGCACGAATTATGAATGTATGTATTCTAAGCTAAAATGAAAAGAATTGCTCGTGAATCCAAATTCTTCAGTTCTTTGTGTCTCTCTCTTTGGCCTTTTGTATGAGATCAAAATTGTTGATGTGTAGAAGAATGTCAGCTGCACAACAATATAAAAGACAATGTTTCTGAGGGAATCAGTTCATCTAGTTACAATTGATGGCCTTTAAAGTATTCAATTAACAAGATCATAAAGTCTCCAAAAATATTCTGGAAGAGTCCCACTCACTTACATCAAATACCAGTTTGAAATTTCTGGAGATATAGTAAAGATGACAGAGTTCCCTCAGTAAACTGATGGGAACTGGTTTCATATCATATACAGTTTAAAAAAAAAAAAAAAATTATTTGTCACTTACTTAAGTGTCAGTGAGAAAGAGTTTGTTCACAGAAAATACATTTTAAGGATAAAATTATCCTATTATATGAGAAATGATCCGAAGTCCCCTGGGATCATGTCATTTTAGCTACTGACAATTGAAAGGGAATACCATAGCATTCAACACATTTTATTTTTAGCTGCATTGCACAAAAACAACAGAAAAAAAGAAACTTTGATTGATTGGCACATGATTCCGATCCGTGTTGTATTTTTTTCAATTTCATTTTAAGTGCCAGCTTTTCCTCCAGTAATCCTTGCTACGGGATTCCTGCTGCCCACATGACTTATTTTTCTATAAATACCTCAAATACACAACATAGGACTCTTCTCTATCTTCTCTTTAGTCATTGTCTTAATTTGCCAAAGCCCTTTCAATGTGGCATGCCTTGAGTGTGGCTTGACCATCAACAGCTATGGCCATTTAAAGCTTTGCTATAGGGAACCAATTACCTACAACAACAAAAATGTCCATAGAGCAGTGGCATACTAAGAGGGAGTGGGGGGGGGGCGGGCTGTCCCGGGTGCCATCAGGTAGGGGGGGGGGCACCAGGGCTGGCCAGGCTTGCTATTCTGTGAGCTGTGTGGCTGCACAGGGCGCCATAGCAGCAGGGGCGCCGGGCAGCCGACACAGCTCACACACGTAGGGTCTGGGAGCAGGAGCAGGAGACCTGCACTGAGATTGGCCGTGGGGGCGGAGCTAAATGCAGCCTCTTACTGCTGCACACAGAGGGGAAGCAGGAAGGAGTCCCTGCTTCCCCAACTACAGCACAGGAGGGACTGAATCCACTCCTCCAGCCCAAGCTTACTGTAAGTGAGAGAGTGTTTGCTGTGTGTAACTGTGATTGTGACTGTCTTTGACTGTGTGTGTGTTATTGTGTGTGTGTGTGTGTGTGTGTATGTGTGACTGTCTGCCTGTGATTGTGGGTGTGAGTGAGACAGCTCTGACTGTGTGTGTGTGTGTGTGTGACTGTCTGCCTCTGATTGTGTGTGTGTGTGTGTGACTGTCTGTGATTGTGTTGTGTGTATGTGTGACTGTCTGCCTGTTATTGTGTGTGTGACTATCTGTGTGTGTATGTGTGACTGTCTGCCTGTGTGATTGCCTGCGTGTTTGACTGTCTGCCTGTAACTGTGTGTGGGACTGTGTGCATCTGACTGTGTCTGACGGTCTTCGCCCTGCAGTGAGCCGGCAGTCAGGATATGATGTCATCGCGGCCTCGGCATCATTACAGGGCGTGCGATGGACCTGTGCAGAAAGAGCACAGAGATCCCAGCAGCAACCACTGACCACCAGGGTCTGAGGATCCACTCCAGCCCTTCTAGAGCAAGGAAGGGAGGCTGGGTGGACCTCTTAATTATTAAATGTGTGTATGTATGTAATGTTTGTGTGTGTATGTGATTGTGTATCTGTGATTGTGTTTGTGTATATCTGTTATTATGTGTGTGATTGTGTGTATCTCTGTGTATGTGTTTAGTAGTTAGCTCCCTTATTTCCTGTCCGTAAATATTGCAATCCCACATAAGGATAACAAATAAGGGATTTATCTACTAAACAACTGAAAATAAGAAAAGGATATTTCTATGTGTGACTTTGTTTGTGTGCATATGTATCTGCATGTATGTATGTCCGTGTATGTGTATATGTGCAGAATTCTAAAAATCTCACCAACACTACACACAAATACACTCATGTATTTCAACGTCAACACTGCATACAAACCCCACCATTATATATAACCATACCACTGCATTCAAATACCACACAACACACAAATGCATGCTTGCATTCAAACGCCAACACTACATACAAACACACCGCTACATTCACTCACATACAAAAACATGAATACATTCAAACACACAAACACTGCTTAGTGCTGAATACATAAAAAAACAAATTTTGGTTGTTTTTATGTTTAAAGTTGGGGCAAAAGGGGAGGTGCAAAAATAGGACCCTCCCCAGGTGCCAAATGCTTTTAGGTACGCCCCTGCCATAGAGACAAACCTTATCTCCTAAGATGAAAGGGGCAATACACCAGACCAGAAAACCGACCTTATGTTGACTAATTACCCCAACAAATACAGATAGGCAATATAAAAATGGTTACAAACTTGTTGGATACAGGGGTAGCATATAGCTTTCAATAGTATGGGCAAGCTCCTTTTCAAATAAGCATCCCCAAATAGAGATACTTTTTAACCACCTCCAACCACTTACATCAACAATTTGTATCAAGTGTCAATGAGCTGGAGATAGGCATTCAATATTTGAGCAATCTTAGGATAACCTAGTAAAGATAGACAGGCTTGTTGATGCACATATTAATTGGATGAAAAAGTCCAATTTCTGGAATAAAATCTGAGAGGATGCACAAATAAAATAAAAGATCCAGAGGAAAAATGAACACACAATATCATTTATTTGAGAGAATGAAACCCTTACCAGATTCATATACAAAGAAAAGTTGGCCAGAGGGATTATCCAAAAATCGAGGGAACAGATAAGGGGGTAACCCTAGGATAATGAAACAAAGAGAAAGAGATAAATCTGTCCCTATGATAGAGGATTGATAAAAATCACGAAGATACTTTATTGCTACCAAAAAAGTTACTATAAGTACATCTAAATATAACTGTCTAACTCAGACAGAGAAAAAAAATAAACGGTATAATATGCACGACAAACAAGGGATAAGGGGAGTAAATAAAGAAAAAACACAAGAAAAAGTAAATCACATAGCCACAAACAAATGATCTGGAGCAAAGCTAATGACAGCAATCTCCAAGATCATGATGTAATAAAACCAAAATAACAAGCCAAGCGAAGCTAATTTGAAATATATAATGGAAGCATACACTATAGTGTGGGAAGGAAACTATTAGATATGTAGACAGCTGGCTCAATGTCGTCAGCCTGCTACATATGTTGCGAGAATGTATCGCTAGGTAAGTTCAATATATAATGTGATAATTTGTAACATTTGGTTCACAGTCAACAGCCTAACAAGAGGGAATGTCGAGCCAGAGTGAACTGTAAAGTAAAGATCTAGAATATCCGATAATATCTAGTTCTGTGCAGACAAAGCTAGCTAAATAGTATGAAAATCATACAATTCAATAGAACATGTAGCACTGCACGACCCAAATATAGCGCGATCAGTGCGGTCACTAGATGTCTAACAAAAACGACTTAATAATACATCTCTGA